GTATCGCTCAATATTTGTGATGCTACAGCATTACACGTATGCAACACATTTGCCTAGCAATGGATTCGAACCCACCACCTGGAGATGGTCGGTTCGAGGTGGTCGGGGATCTCGAACACCTGCGCGCACTGAGGGAGAGGAGCTCAAGAGTATTGAAGGCTCTAAAAGATCTCCAGGTTTATCTGCCCGAATGGCGGTAGTAGCGTTTCATTCTAGGAAGAACTATCAAGTGTACACATTGTACGCGTTAAACTATCTGATGAAGAGCGCCGTGAACGTAGGTGTATGGCGTCTGGAAACTCAGAGTATCGCTCAATATTTGTGATGCTACAGCATTACACGTATGCAACACATTTGCCTAGCAATGGATTCGAACCCACCGCCTGGAGATGGTCGGTTCGAGGTGGTCGGGGATCTCGAACACCTGCGCGCACTGAGGGAGAGGAGCTCAAGAGTATTGAAGGCTCTAAAAGATCTCCAGGTTTATCTGCCCGAATGGCGGTAGTAGCGTTTCATTCTAGGAAGAACTATCAAGTGTACACATTGTACGCGTTAAACTATCTGATGAAGAGCGCCGTGAACGTAGGCGTCTGGCGTCTGGAAACTCAGAGTATCGCTGAATATTTGTGATGCTACAGCATTACACGTATGCAACACATTTGCCTAGCAATGGATTCGAACCCACCGCCTGGAGATGGTCGGTTCGAGGTGGTCGGGGATCTCGAACACCTGCGCGCACTGAGGGGGAGGAGCTCAAGAGTATTGAAGGCTCTAAAAGATCTCCAGGTTTATCTGCCCGAATGGCGGTAGTAGCGTTTCATTCTAGGAAGAACTATCAAGTGTACACATTGTACGCGTTAAACTATCTGATGAAGAGCGCCGTGAACGTAGGCGTCTGGCGTCTGGAAACTCAGAGTATCGCTGAATATTTGTGATGCTACAACATTTCACGTATGCAACACAATTGCCTAGAAATGGATTCGAACCCACCACCTGGAGATGGTCGGTTCGAGGTGGTCGGGGACCTCGAACACCTGCGCGCACTGAGGGAGAGGAGCTCAAGAGTATTGAAGGCTCTAAAAGATCTCCAGGTTTATCTGCCCGAATGGCGGTAGTAGCGTTTCATTCTAGGAAGAACTATCAAGTGTACACATTGTACGCGTTAAACTATCTGATGAAGAGCGCCGTGAACGTAGGTGTATGGCGTCTGGAAACTCAGAGTATCGCTCAATATTTGTGATGCTACAGCATTACACGTATGCAACACATTTGCCTAGCAATGGATTCGAACCCACCGCCTGGAGATGGTCGGTTCGAGGTGGTCGGGGATCTCGAACACCTGCGCGCACTGAGGGAGAGGAGCTCAAGAGTATTGAAGGCTCTAAAAGATCTCCAGGTTTATCTGCCCGAATGGCGGTAGTAGCGTTTCATTCTAGGAAGAACTATCAAGTGTACACATTGTACGCGTTAAACTATCTGATGAAGAGCGCCGTGAACGTAGGCGTCTGGCGTCTGGAAACTCAGAGTATCGCTGAATATTTGTGATGCTACAGCATTACACGTATGCAACACATTTGCCTAGCAATGGATTCGAACCCACCGCCTGGAGATGGTCGGTTCGAGGTGGTCGGGGATCTCGAACACCTGCGCGCACTGAGGGGGAGGAGCTCAAGAGTATTGAAGGCTCTAAAAGATCTCCAGGTTTATCTGCCCGAATGGCGGTAGTAGCGTTTCATTCTAGGAAGAACTATCAAGTGTACACATTGTACGCGTTAAACTATCTGATGAAGAGCGCCGTGAACGTAGGCGTCTGGCGTCTGGAAACTCAGAGTATCGCTGAATATTTGTGATGCTACAGTATTACACGTATGCAACACATTTGCCTAGCAATGGATTCGAACCCACCGCCTGGAGATGGTCGGTTCGAGGTGGTCGGGGATCTCGAACACCTGCGCGCACTGAGGGGGAGGAGCTCAAGAGTATTGAAGGCTCTAAAAGATCTCCAGGTTTATCTGCCCGAATGGCGGTAGTAGTGTTTCATTCTAGGAAGAACTATCAAGTGTACACATTGTACGCGTTAAACTATCTGATGTAGAGCGCCGTGAACGTAGGCGTCTGGCGTCTGGAAACTCAGAGTATCGCTGAATATTTGTGATGCTACAGCATTACACGTATGCAACACATTTGCCTAGCAATGGATTCGAACCCACCGCCTGGAGATGGTCGGTTCGAGGTGGTCGGGGATCTCGAACACCTGCGCGCACTGGGGGGGAGGAGCTCAAGAGTATTGAAGGCTCTAAAAGATCTCCAGGTTTATCTGCCCGAATGGCGGTAGTAGCGTTTCATTCTAGGAAGAACTATCAAGTGTACACATTGTACGCGTTAAACTATCTGATGAAGAGCGCCGTGAACGTAGGCGTCTGGCGTCTGGAAACTCAGAGTATCGCTGAATATTTGTGATGCTACAGCATTACACGTATGCAACACATTTGCCTAGCAATGGATTCGAACCCACCGCCTGGAGATGGTCGGTTCGAGGTGGTCGGGGATCTCGAACACCTGCGCGCACTGAGGGGGAGGAGCTCAAGAGTATTGAAGGCTCTAAAAGATCTCCAGGTTTATCTGCCCGAATGGCGGTAGTAGCGTTTCATTCTAGGAAGAACTATCAAGTGTACACATTGTACGCGTTAAACTATCTGATGAAGAGCGCCGTGAACGTAGGCGTCTGGCGTCTGGAAACTCAGAGTATCGCTGAATATTTGTGATGCTACAGCATTACACGTATGCAACACATTTGCCTAGCAATGGATTCGAACCCACCGCCTGGAGATGGTCGGTTCGAGGTGGTCGGGGATCTCGAACACCTGCGCGCACTGAGGGGGAGGAGCTCAAGAGTATTGAAGGCTCTAAAAGATCTCCAGGTTTATCTGCCCGAATGGCGGTAGTAGCGTTTCATTCTAGGAAGAACTATCAAGTGTACACATTGTACGCGTTAAACTATCTGATGAAGAGCGCCGTGAACGTAGGCGTCTGGCGTCTGGAAACTCAGAGTATCGCTGAATATTTGTGATGCTACAGCATTACACGTATGCAACACATTTGCCTAGCAATGGATTCGAACCCACCGCCTGGAGATGGTCGGTTCGAGGTGGTCGGGGATCTCGAACACCTGCGCGCACTGAGGGGGAGGAGCTCAAGAGTATTGAAGGCTCTAAAAGATCTCCAGGTTTATCTGCCCGAATGGCGGTAGTAGCGTTTCATTGTAGGAAGAACTATCAAGTGTACACATTGTACGCGTTAAACTATCTGATGAAGAGCGCCGTGAACGTAGGCGTCTGGCGTCTGGAAACCCAAAGTATCGCTGAACATTTGTCATGCTACAACATTTCACGTATGCAACACAATTGCCTAGCAATTTACTATAAATTGTATTCTTCCAATTGCTTCGTGATTGTTGCAGGAGGGTAAGCTTTTCGCGCAGGTGCTGTTCGAGCCCTGTGACCCAGATGTAATTCGAAACGTTCTAAAGCGACCTAAGCTCCAAACTAAGTGGTATATCATCCGCAAACATCGCGTCACAGTGCTCCAAGAGGACACTTCTCATGGCATACTTTAGACTGCTAGGGCTCCCCTGATGACGACATTGCCAACAGGCACGTGGCAAGGATTTTGATTCGGGGAGGGCCCGCCCATGACAAAATGCTGCATGAGGGGGAGGGGGGAAAGGAGGCTCCAGCAAAATGGAAGATTTTGGGGGGAGGGGGCGGGCCCCATGCTCCACCCCCCCCCCCCCCTCCACCCCTGGATGCGTGCCTGGCGAACAACAGATGTACGTACCAGACATTTTGGTAACGTTTCAGGTGTCAAAACCAAAAATACAACTCACGTAACTTGAACGACATAATGTTAGGGAGCTAAAGAACTACAGCCCCCCAACAAGTGGAAGTGACCCTCTTGGACCATGCTGTACTTCATGTCGCAGCAGGGTTTCTTCGAGCGCGAATGAACCTATCGTCCGCGATAGTTTTACTGCGCGAAATGCATGTATCGATATAGTGCAACTCAATTAGCACAAACAAGCAAACAGTGTTGTTGTTATTGTTGTTTTTCATCTAAACTTCATTCTTTATAACTTGTAGTGTGGTAGAAAGTGATTATTCAGAGACCCTTAAGCAGTAACGTTTGGCTTTCTACAGTGGCATGAGAGAATACAACGCGAAAAGGCTCGAGTATCACGGAGCTTCGAAAGTATCGAGAATGTAACCAAAGAAACAACTACCAAGTAGTTCCTTTTTTTCTAAGCTCATTCGGTTAAGTGTAACTATTAAGCTTCATCAAAAGTACTTTTTTGCCTCAAAGCAAGTAAGTTATTTGCATCAAAACGTGATCGGGGCCTTGTCCTATCGATGATTTCTGTGTGGACCGAAATATCTGTGACTCTGCGAGGAAGTTGGAGAGCGGGTTTTGTTGGAATCGACATCTACGGGACAAATCACATCCAGGAGCCATACTCCGTGTCACTAGTTGCGTGCAGTACAGGCGAAGCCAACGCCAGGCGAGGGGAGCAAGGGCAAGCACTAGGAAGGCTGGGGAGAAAAAGAGAAACCTCCTCTCCTCTCTAACGTTCCAAGTGCTCTCCATTTTTCAACTAGAACTCTATTGCCCTCCTCTCCCGTCCCGCCTTCCTAGCTCTCGCCATTTCTCTCTTTGCCATGGCGTTGCCTTTGCTTGCACTGCGCAGAGCTTGTGACACGGAGTATAGTCTACACACCACCTAACAAAAAAGGAGATGTGCTTCCTGAGGCGTAAACGATGTGTGTAAACACTCACTTTAATAGAAATATATCAAAGTGTGGACAGAGGGATGAGGGAATGATAAGTTTTGTCATAACAGTTTTTTCCTCTGCTACACTATTGTGGTTAGCGGCTACAGTTTTATGTTTTGACTCAACGTTTAAACATCTCATCAACAAGATTTTCTTCTTTTTCTTTTTGTGCAGCAGCGGACCTTGCAAACAGCCTCACCGGGACACTGGGCACACTCAACCCTATAAGTGCAGCTGCGAAAGCAGCCGGAGGAGTGTCTGGAGCGATTGGGGCCGCAATAAATCTCATGCCTTCTTCTCTCACAGGTCTGTTATAAAGCCACTTTACATGGCCTCTCGCCGCGATTGGTCGCACGCGGTACCCTGGCAACGAGCCGAGCTAGCACGATTTCCATAGCATCCGACAGAGCCGAGCAAGGACGACATTTGCCGAAAAAGCGTTCGAAAATTTCGGAGTACCGCTCGCGTACTTGTCTGCTTTTTTTCCATTCTCGATTAGCGCGAAGTTCAAATTGCCAGTTGTGCCCCCACGTGCGTTGAGCATGAGGTGAGTGAAGGCGCCCATATCTTCAGACAGTCTCCTCTATATCTACAAAGCCTGGCAGTTCGATGACGGAGCCATAGAGTGCCCGGTCGCAGATTATGAGCTCGAGGATCTGGTAGCACAGAGCATTTCTGGGGGAGTCTGGAAATTAAGGGCACAGCTTTTACAGCGGCGGGTACCCGAAACATGGTTTTCAAACCCGACGAAGAAAGAAGCGGTAGCCCGAGGAACGCGAGAAGCACGAGCGGGCATTCCATCGCTCGGGACAAGTGTGTTTCGGCGTCTCGCCGCAGCGGGGCGCCCGTTACATGACTCTTTTCTTCCGCTCTACCTTTTCACTTTCGGTGGCCGCGTCTCGTGGCGATCCGCAAGGCTTTATCAGTATAGAGGAGGCTATGCTTCAGATATACCCGTGCCGATATACCATCCACGCTTTTGTGTGGCTTTTACTCACATTTACATACTTTTACCGCTCTTTTATGAACGGGTGGAGATATAATATAAGCCATACTACGGTGATAAGATTGTCGCGCCAATTTCTTCACATTGCACCCTGCTAGGCCATGCTGCATTTAGCCAAAATGTAACAAAATTGCGCCAGCAATGCGCCAAAACTTAATGTTACCCTAAAAATATTGAAAATATATGATATCTCCTACAAGCCTACACGTCCGGATCGTTACAGACGGCTTGCAGGAATCTTCAGAGCTTTCGATTAACACCTCAAAAAACGTATCGTTCGATTTATACTTTCCATCCAACGCTGACAGTGCTCTAATGTACCATAATATGTATTTGTCGTGTTCTCGCGCTCTGTTCGGGAGGGCAAGTTAGATTTGTTAAGTGCGCTTGTCATCGTGCACTGGTGTAATGCAGTGAAGCGAAAACCGCATAGTATGTATCGCGATTTTGCGCATCTTGTTTTGCCACAGCACAGCCGCGTGCTAAGGAGAAAGCGTTCTCCCGGTGAGGGATGTTACACAGTCATGCGTCGGGTCCATTAAAAAAGGAGAACTTGTGAGTTCTGATGTAATTAACTGTACCTTGCAGTAAAACTGTATCAATAAAACTGTGTCAAAAAAACTGCAACTATAGTATTTCAACTGTTTTAGCAAATGATTTAAAATAAGTTACTACAAATAGGGTGGTTGAAGAAGATTTAAAAATTAACTTTTTCGGGAACTTCCAGCCACGGCGGACGCCGAGAATTGCAAAAAAGAAAAACGTTATTTTGCCAAAAAGATTAAAAAATACTAATTATTTTTTTTTTTTTTTGTTAAATTAAACATGACTCATCTGCGTTTGCGTATCACTGGCCTTCCGCCTGCTACACGATTGTTAAGTCCAGCAAACCGCGGCGCTTTACACGTGCTTCAAGTCGTCCTAAACTTGACTGATTTAGGGGTTTTCGACAGGGACACCCTGCTGTTATTATTCTGTTTGTGAATATAACAAAACAAAAACATAATACATTAAAATATTATGCATGATAAAGTGTAGAAACGGGCATAAGAAACAAATTATCTTAGCCCTAACCGCCTTTTTTTTTATGCTGCATACGCCTCAATTCGTGGTCACGGCTTCACTCAACATTTCGACATGATATCAACGAGTGTGCTGATGTCTTTTTTTTATTATTTCCTTTATTAGGGGACCTTGCGAAGGACGTCACCGGGACCTCAAGCGCGCTCGAAACCGCACCTGTCGCCGGGAAAGCAACTGAGACAGTTTCTAAGGCGATTCGGACCGCAAGCAGTCTCGTGCCTTCACCTCTCAGAAGTTTACTTGCCGCTTCAACAGGGAAAAAGTAAAGACTCCAAAGGCTTTTGGGCGTTTTTACTTGACTCAAACGTCATCAAACGTCCTATGTCCGTAACGAACCTCTAAGGTAACACGCCGCACTACAGAAAGCACACGTGTACGATAACCCTGGAACCGCGCTCTATTCAATTTCAAATTGCTTGCATAGAGGTTTGAAGAGCGGGGACTTAGCCCGCCTTGAAATGTCGTCCTCGTTGTACATGAACAATTTAGCCACTGCACTATGACTACTAACCTGGGTGAGGCATTTAACTTGAATCATGCACTAGTGATTCCACGACCGCTCGAGCGGTACGATGCTCGTCCTGTTCAAAACGGGCACGCAGGGATTTATGTATCCCCCAGCCCTCCCCCAACACACCTCTATACGGCGCCCTGGCCCATGGCAAACTTACCAAGATGCTGAAGTAGACACCATTACCAATGCACTGACTACATTTTTGAAGGAAACACGGCTATACACGCAGACAACCTTCAGTGGTTATGCAGTCAAAGCTATGGGCGCGAGGGCGCTGGCGCAACTTTATCGCCGTCGCCGATTAAAGCTGTTTGCGCGCACGATTCACTTCTGAAATTCCACAGAAAGATGCCCACGGGTTTAGACAGTACACTTTAAAAATGGGAAGACAAAAAAAATGCAGTCAAACGTTACTGCCAAACGTTACAGTCAAATGATGCAGTTAAATGTTTCGGGTCAAACGTCACAGCCAAATTGTATAGTCAAACATTACACATGTTCGTAAAATTCAACTGATAAAATACATTCTATGTTGAAAGGGGCATAGCTTATATAAGTTTTATTTTGTCTTTGTCTCTTCTCGGGATGCCTGTGTTCATCAATTTTATGACTCATGTTATCTGTGATTTTCATTTTATTTCATATATTTATTAGATTCCGTTTTGTTCATTCGTGCTTTATCTCCTCTCTGTAAACCTCTCTTCTTTCTTTATACCGCTTCCCCTTTTTTCAGCACAAAGCAGTAACTCAGAATCTTTCTAATAAACAGAGTTTTCGCTCCCTGGAAGCGACGCCACTCATACTTTCCCAAAGTCTCCATGCATCGCGGCAAAAACACAAAACCGCCGACAGTGCAACTGCTACAGTGCCGGTACGGGGGACTGCAACGTCATGCAACCTCAAGTGAAATCATGTTGTTTTAAAGAGCCACTTTGACCGCACTCTAAAAAGAAGCCCGTGCGTCTGCTTTCCCGCACAACACTCGGAGAGCCAATCACCGCAACTTACGGAGGCAACTCAGCGAATGACGATGCCGAAACATATGTTTAGACCAAAAAAACGCAGTCTGAGTTGTGACATTAAGCAATGCAAAACGTCACTGCTTAATGTCACAACTCAGTCTGCGTTTTTTTAGTCAAAACATAAGTTTCGGCCTCGTCATTCGCTGAGTTGCCTCCGTAAGTTGCGGTGATTGGCTTTCCGATTGTTGTGCGGGAAAGCCGACTCATGGTCTTTCTTTAGAGTGCGCGTTGCGCGAGGGGGCCGTAGGCCATATGGGAAGATCCACAGAGCTCGCGTAAGAACCCAGCCTATCGTATTCCCACTCCCTGCCAGGTAAAAGGCATATCATTCCATTCCCATTCCACAATCCATACCTCCCAGTGCTGTCGTCATTCCATTCTCTTTTCTTTTCTTTTTTTTTCCGGGTTACAGAAGTGCGGAATGATTCCAGAATCATTCCAACTCCCGAGTGCCAACTCCGCAACACTGCCTAATAGTTGAGTTAAGAATATCTGGGAGGTCGTTTATGTATATTGAAAACAAAAACGGGCCCAGCACAGCTCTCTCTGCTACTCCCGATTTAGCAGTTTTCTGTGCAGAGCAAATGTTATCTTCTGTTATGTAATGAATGCGATTTAAAAGTGTGTGATCCCATTTATAATCGATGTGTCTATTCAAAAACAGTTAAGTTTCTGGATGAGACGACAATGTGAAACTTTTTCGAAAACCCTTTTAAAATAGATGAACGAAAAGTCGTTTGTTGTTGTACTGATCTATTCCATTTGGGTAGTTATTAAGTATTCTGGGCAGGGACGGTGTAGGGGAAATATTTCATAAGTGAAAACTTCACGAAAAAAAAAACAGTTCGCAAGTCTTGGCGGTCGGTAAGCGTTTTCCAGAGGTATCAGTCAAGCTGACTGAATCCTTTAGCTGTTTCGGGTTTATAAAAGGCCAAAACGTTTAAAAACTTATTTTTAGCTTTGCTTATTTTATATTTGCAATGCAGATGACAACCTCGGTATTTTGACCACAAAATAGCGGTTTGGGAACTTTTTGCTGAACGAAAAACCTATTCATTTTATTCGGCAATCTTTTCAAACGGGTTAAAAACCAGTGTGCAAACGACGTGTAAATAGTTATCTTGGGAATAAATCTGTCATGCAACCTACGTAATTTACACTAAACATCACACAGTTTTCATAGACCGATCTTGAGCCGAATTTTTCTAGAAACGGATTTGAAAATAAAAGCAATATGTTTTGGCTGATTGCGCCGAGGTTCGCAAGAGATAGCTAACGTGTTGTAATTGGAAGTTCGACACAAATTAAGGTGTGATCGCGGACCAGTGGCTTCATATAAACGGTCCTTATCCCAAGTTCGACTTCGAACTAAAGAAGATAAAAGAAAGAGACCAAGCATAGCCGTATTGCGACTTGCTTTCTCGACATATTGTCGAAGTGAAAGTGAGTACATGACATCAGCAAAATCACGAGATTGTTTAGAAAGATTCTGCCGTGACAGAAATGACAGTTTACAAGAAAAAAAGAAAAAAAAACACGTCACACGATTTCTGGGTAGTTGAAATCACCAGTAATAATAATTTGAAGCAACCCGACATTGGGGAATTGTTTCATTTCTTTGTGTAATAGGAGAGTGCTGAGAGATGGGGAAGGTTCTTTTTTCTTCTTTTAGGTTGTTCAACCCATATAAAAGAAGTCTTTTCCGCAAGAAGAAAAAAAAAACTGTTTAACACGTGGTGATCTTTTTTTTTTTTTCATTTGCGCGGGTTTGTAATTTTTAGGGTATCTAAAAAGTAAATTATTAATTGTGTTTTAACGCTTGTTACAGCCTAAATGCCCGCCAAATTTGTATTAGTTTGTTGTTCTATTTTATAAACTTGCACTTCCCGCTTCAGTGGTTCAAAGTGTTCTACTATAAGTAGTAGAAAAAAGAAGAGAGAGACATACGTGTGCATGGTTCTAGATTTTTCATCTAAACAGTGACCATTCCCATTTAAAGGGGCCCTGCAATCCTATTTAAGCGTCTACCTTTTTTTTGCGGTTTCCACGTCTCTTGTGGTTCGGGCAACCCAGCGGGCACAGAGAGAGTAACTATGTATCAGTGCGTCATATTTTAACCGGACGACGCGGAAGCCTCCTTTTCCTACGGGGGCCCCCCGTGGTGTCGGACGCGCGCGGCATGTGGCGAAATCGTGACGTTTTTGGCCCTGACGTCAGCCGAGGAGAGAGAGCTGCCCGGGCAGCTTCTCTCCTCGGCCTCATCTCCTTTCCCCGCCTTCCCCTCAGCCACCGTGGCCAGGGGAATCCTCCGGCGCGGGAAAAAAGGGGACAGAGGACCAAGGACGCCATGAAGGAGGTTAGTTTTGCTTGTTTTTGTAATATTAATATGCCTTTTAAAATAAAGCGAATTTCAAGAAAAGAAAAAGTTCACTAAGTTACTACGTTCAATGCGCTCAGGTTCAATGCAAATTTAAAAAAAAAAAAATACAGTAAAGAAAAGTCGTTGCCGGGCCCCTTTAAGCAACACAGGCAATTGAGCCACACGGCGTGACAGAGGTTTAGCAGAGATTCGATCAAATAGGACCAAAATACACTACGAAGACCGGAGAAGAAAGGATTCGTTAGCAAGACGTGATTAGACGAACGTGATCAAAATGCCTTCTTATTTTAATTGTTATTTTATTGACTCACTCTCGAGAGAGCGCGGTTCTTGAGAACGGTGTGACGCGAGAAGATCTTGAACATTTAGTTGGAGTAATTAAACTCTAATAGGAAAACAGTGGGTGGGATTCCTCAGCGACTTTAATGTCAATGCCTCGGTGTTTTACGAGATACAGCCAAACAAACATTACTGTTCGATTCTTTATGGTCTTGTAGCGGATGCGTGAAACCAATAGAAAACAAAAAAGCGAGTTGAAATGTTCTTCAGCGCAGTGCCTAAACAAATTGCATGAAACAACATTAAAATTCTTTATTGAACAGATTCACGTTTATCTAATGAGATGAAGAAGATAACCCCCTACATTTGGAGAAGACAGTATACAGACATAATTATTTACAGAAGTTATCAAATTAAGGGTTCTTCACAGCACGAACATCGCTTTCCGTCGTCGTGCTCCCTGCACGTAGCGGTCTACAACCTTCTGTTGGTCGACGTTGAAATCTCGATGGACGTTTAAGAGTGCAAAACCGTTGAGTCGCTTTTCCCAACACCGCGATCTAATCCAAGTCTTAATCCGACGAAGGGTAGAGAAGGATAGCTCAGCCGTCGCAACACTAACTGGCAGTGTGGCGAGAACGCGCAGCAGTGTACTGGTGTTGGGATACAGTTCTCTCTCCGACTCTTGAAGTGTCTCCACAGCCGTCGATGGAAGAGGCCCCTTCAGCTCTCAGGATGGTTTGCAATGCTACATCTCCCATTCCGAACAGCACGCCGTATTTCGCTGTCAGGATACTGAGCTTTGCTTGAGCTTCCTTGTCATTCACTTGGAAGGGCAAAAGCGTGTTGAGGCAGTACACCCCCAGCACCTCTTTCGGCAAACGCTGCTTCAGATCTTCCACGACGGATTCCACAAGCGGAATGTAGACAAGTGCGCAAAAGTATGACTCGAGGCAATTTCGCGCCGTTCATTTGTCGTTGCACTAGACAAGGCAAATATTGTTGGGCTCCCCATGTTCTCGGCAATGTCTTCTGTGCACGTGCAAACATTTCTTTGAAAGTCTTCTCAACATTCAACGGGTTCCGCTTT